TAAAGCTGGCTTGGTCCATCTGTAAGTGCATCGATTAATTTTTCTCTGAAACATATTAACTGTCCGACACACACACACAAATTCCCGCAACTTTGTTTGACCGCTTTGAGGTTTTAATTTGAGCTGCGAGCGAACATTCTACGAGGCGGGCAATCAAAGGTCAACCACTTCACTAGCACACACCCACTCACACACACATACTGGGGGATACCCAAAACTTTATGCATCATTTGCATGGAGGTCGTATAACTTCGGCCCAGTGGGCATTAATGGAAATCAATCCAGTTGAAAATTAAAGCAAACTTATTTGAAAATTCCTCAGAAGTTGGACGCACCCACTTCGTGTGTCCCCATTTACTGGCAATTTGTTGTCGCCTTTGAGTTGCCTTTGTGTTATTTACTAAAAACGTAAAGGACTCAATAAAATAGCCCTGGGATGCACGCGCTATCCTTCATTTCTTTTTTGATCCTATGCAAACAGGCAGATAAAAAGTTACCCAGTAACTGACAAAAGCAGAAGGCAGGTCCGTCTGGCTCTGATTGTGAGTTCTGAGATTCCCAACCTCCCAGTTCCCCCGCTTCCCAGCTCCGCAGCTTCCTTGTGGGGCGAAAGGTCAGCATTTGTGTTTGCTTTGTAATTTGTTTATGCAAAATTGCCGGAGCAATTTCATAATGGGTCAAAAGAGAAATCAACTTTTGTCGAGAGTGCTTTAAAATGCATGACAACCACAGCCAGTAGTCGGGCCGGAAAATGCGCCTGATTGCTACCAGGTTGTTGTCGTCGTTGGCTAAATGGACCGGATCTCAAAAACTAAAGTTGCCAGTTGTTGTTTTCTTTTTTTTTTTTATTGCTTTTCCGTGGCTATTTCGCTTTGCTAAAGCAATTTGTAACCTTATATCTATAAAATATGTCTTTATTTTTGTAGAACTCCTAGCACAAGTTTCATAACAGACTGGTTTTTAGAAGATTAAATGTTTTCTACTTAAATGTATAAATTAATAAACAGGTATTATTTTAAGAAATATATATTCCTTAGATGTGTCGACTCTTTACCAAGTTTCTGAAAGGGTATACCGGCTTCAAAGGTCTGCATTTAGATGGCGTTCTCCATTTTTGTTGTTGTCATCACACACTCACCCGAATGGTTCTGACCGCCATTTGCTGTTTGGACGCCGGACCGTCGGGTTGATTTGGCTTTTAGTTTGCCCTCTGCCATTCCTCCCTCCCCCCGGGAATTTTCGCCTTTGTGCCATAAAAAGCGTTTCCTTTTGGCCCGACCTCGTGTTCGAGGCGGTGAGTAAGTTTTGCATAGTTTAGGGCTTTTAATTCTACGCATGTTGCTTGACAACTTTCCAACTGTCTGCCTGAGGTAGAGAGTAGAATTGCCTTGTGCTCGGTGCTCGGCGTTAATATGATGAGCATTCTTTTGCCACCCCCACTCCGCAGAGGTGGCGGAAAATTGCATTCCCGTGGGATATTTGCACGGAATCAATACAATATTGGGATCGAGTCGGAAAAGTAATTGCAAATGTTTGCAAAATTGCTATTTGATGACGGAAGTGCAATGCATTTCCCGCTTGCGCAGTCTGCACTGTCAATTTCCAGCTATATATACCGTATATGTGCTGATGTCGGAATGGAAGGAGGTGAGTGGCACACCTTTAATGGCCAGGTGCCAGTTGAGTAAAGGAAGCAACAGTTGAGTAGAGAAAAACCCGAATAACACACTTAAAAATCTGGAATTTGGGGGCTCTACTTTGCTCTTATAATTTCAATTAATAATTTTTACTGAATTTGACCTATATTTTTGTTAAATAAATAAATAAATTATTAACAATTGTATAAAAAATTAAATTTATACTTAATATGCATTAAACCAATTATTTTCTGTATTATTTTATGATATCCTTTTATGCAGACACTCATTTCTTGCAGCCAAAGGCACTTTCTTTTAAGGTGTCGCCATGCAAATAAAATGCACTTAAATTTCCATAATTGTCTGAAATGCTTTCGCGTTTCTTTAATCATTTCAAGAGGCAGGACGAAGCCAGATTAAAAGCTCCCGAGGTGAACCACTTACTGCATTTCCACAGCACCATATGCCATATATGCGCTTCTATATATGTATATTCAGGTGCATATTTATTTACCTGAATGGATGACCAGCGATTACACGAATCCCAGTCGCAGTCGAGAGCGAACCGATGAATTTGCAAGTGCAACATTTCACTGTCACTTATGCATGTCCGCCTGTCATTTAAGTACAGCTTGACTCGGCACAGAATCTACGAGTATATGTATGTATGCTTAATGGACGGCTATATGTTGTTTTATTAACGACAGCGAGTCGGGCGACTTCCGCTGCGTCCGACTGCTGATGGGTCCAGTGAATTAAATTGTAAAGATTTCTCTTGCACACGCAAAGGGGCCTTCGCTTTTGATTTTTTGATATGCCTCAGCCTTCGCCCATTCTGTGTGCAATTTAAATTAATTCCCCAGCAGATTACAGCCATTACACCGATATAATGTACACAACAATTAACGCTGTGCCAAGACAACGCAATAAGTTGCGAGTCACTTTGTAAGCCTTCGAATGCAATAAGTGAGAATTCATGTGATGCATTACAGAAATTCCATTTCTGTTTTTAATGCTGTTCTGGACCAAAAACCCTGGGGTTAAAGCTGTCTTTAAATAGTTAAAAATATTCTCTTAATTATTTCTGAAGTTGACTCTAAGATTTCGTTGCATTTTTCGATTACCTCAAGGCCATGCCCCAAATGAAAACTGAAGGTTGCTTAAATATTCAACAAGTAAAATATTGACTGAGCATTTTCCCCAGTACCCATCTGGTTCGACTGCTTAAGCCCCAGTCAGCCAGGACAAATAAATCTCGCAGATTCACCCCCGCCACGCGGATGCGTCGAAGTGCTGGGAAAGCTTTCATTAAACTGACAACGGCGGGAGGAACAAAGCGCGAAACTTGGCTGGCATTGCGTAATTGACTTGCTGCTGGACCCCAGAACCTCGATCCGATGGGAGCTGGCCGATGGGATGGCTAAAAGTTACGTCCTTGTCATAGTTTTATTTGTGCCCGCCACACCAAGTCCAGAAGTGGCTTCAACTTGTGGTTTCGCTGGGATTTAGTGCTTCCAATTTGCCCTTTTTTTTTGGGTTAGGTTTATACGTTTTCAAGGATCTTTGTGGCAGGAAATTGTTGGAAAGCATCTACATTTGTTTTTTTTTTTTTAGAAATTAGTTTAATTTTTGTCTAATTTAAGTTGATTCACTTATTTATAATTAAGTTACTTGCTCTTTAAATTAAAATCCCGTATTCAATCATTTACACAAACAAACAATATTACTAATCTATTTAAGGTACTTAGATACCATAGAAACGACTTACCTGTAAGAGTATTTAAGCTTTTCCGAAGGCAGAATTCTTTCCTTTTTTCTTCTATTTCCTTGACTTTTTTCGGCGCTTACTTACGATAACTTTATGACGCTTATCGCTAAAAATGTGCTTGTATCTGGGCGCTCGCTGCGTATCTCTGTATCTGAATCTTTATTTCGCCAGCGAGTACATTCCGAGCGCGCCACATAAAAGTAAAGTGTAGCCAAGTTGATTCCGTTGAGGGAGTGAGGGAGGAGGGAAGCTGGATGGCTGAATGGCTGGGGGACCAAGAAGCCAGCTTTCCTTCCTAAGTAACTTATGCCATAATTTCACCCGCTCGCCTCAGACCCAGCGAAACCCGAAAACGCTGGCCGCACGGCCACAGCGGCGTAATCGCAAAAAGGAGTCGTCTGGCAAATATTATTTTTTATATTTATTCGACTTTTTTCGCCCTTGCTGCTTAATGTTTATTATGAATGTTACTCGTGAGCGTATTTAGTTAATTTTATTTCACACAAGAGAAGTCAGAAAAAGGCGAACGGCGAACGGCTCCGCCGGAATGCTTGCAACTTTTTTCCCCTCTCGGACTGGAGTCGAGTGCCTGCTGAAAATTAAGTTAACGCCATCAACGCATCGCCAGTGTGTCTCAGTGTTTGGTCTACGAGCGTGTGTATCTGTGTATCTCTGGCTGTGCAAATTAGAAGCCAGTAAACATGGCGAAAAAGGCAGCCGCTTATCTGCGTTAAGTAGATGAGAAAAGTTTGTGGCTCGGCGCGTTGATAAGTTGAATTACAAGCGCACATATTTCTTCCATGGGAATCCTCACGAGCTGGAAGGGGGCGCTGAACTCTGCACCACGAAGGGCCGCGAAGCCCGCCTCCTTCCATTAAACACCCACTTCCTGGGAACTTCTCCCAATTGGAAGATAGACTCCGTCACCTAAGGCGAGCCGGGCATATGCATTAATTTGTTTATGCTCACTGAGCTTTGGCTTTGTTAACAACACGAACTCCAATCTGCTTTTCTGCAGCCCGGGACACTGTAAAAAAATATGATTTAATATGAATTATTATTAGATGGTTCTTGACATCATTGCGACATTATTGAAAGCAATTTTGTAGTGAAAAGCAGAATAAATTAAATCCTATACCCACTTAATTTTAATAACAGTAAAGTTTTTTCTAGTGCATACTTCTGGGTCTTTTATAGCCCAGTAGACCAGTGTCAGTGGCATTGACGGGGGAGTAAAAGTAGATGGTGAGACTGAAGACCGAGGGACCGGCATTAAATTGGCGACACTGTTGCCCAAATCTGCGCTGCTTAAATGCAAACTGCTCAACTTTGTTGCACTTCTAGTGCAAGTACTCTGGCACTAGCCGTTGCCGTCACCCTCGCGTCTCCAGAATGACCTTCAAATGAGGTGTGGCCTCCCCCCCGCAGGTTTCGTGGGCGTGCCCGAAGCCAAACACGTTGCCAGCGACTTAATTAGATTTTGGTTTATGCCAGCGCGGCACTTTATGCCAGGGGTTTAAAGTGACCATTAGGTCGAACGACATTCCAAGCCCTTGAGATTGCGCCACCCCGAAAGGATAAAGATAGATGACTGGTGCCGGCCGAGTGAACCGTTTAATACTGCAATAACATACTAAGGGTACAATGTTATCTGAATATTTGTGCTGAATATTTGTGGTGAATATTTGAGCTGGAAACGTATGGAATTTATGGCAGTTTGTTGTGCTGCAGGTAGAAAAAACGATTTCCAGGACCTGGCATGAAGACAGACTTGCGGAACTCCTCCAGATCGAAATTGTTGGGCTCATAGACGAACGGCTCTTTAATCACTTGCGATTCTGAGCTGGAGTCCTTTGGAGACTCTGGTTCTTCCACTTTAGCTGTCTGGTTTTTGAGTCCCAGAATTGCCCAAATGTCCCTTTCCTCCTCATCCTTTTCCTCGACCACCTCCGGAATGCTTTCTACGCTGGAGCTCGAGAACTTGGGTCTCACCTTCTGGCACTCCCTGAGTCGTTCATAGTCGTCCTCAATCCGCTGGACTATCGGATGCCGCCGCTCCTTGATCACATCGCACAGTTTCTCTCCGTGATGCATGTTTTCGTGTATGTAGTTGTTGCGTCGCACAATCATGTCCACCTCGAACTCCTGAACCTGGGACAGGTCACACTCGCGGCAGTCCATATACAAGATCTTTCGGGAGGTTAGTATTCAAGTAGTCTTATCTGAGCTTTTAAATTCCTGGCTTACCTTCTGATTCTTCTCTAGACACTTCAGGATGCTATCTCCCTGAGAAACTCCGATGTTGTTGGCGGCTATTTCCAGGCTTATTAGCGGCTCGTGATTGCGTAGCAGCCTCCCGATCCCACGACCCAGTGCACCCTTTGTGTTTTCCAGCCCGGATATGTTCAGGGCCAGCACATGCGGGGTGCCGACCAGACCCGTCACTAGCGACTCAATGGCCGATTCGTTAAAAGGGTTGTAGGCAAGGCCCAAGTACTCCAGCACTCCTTCCTGTGCCTCGATGAAGGCTTTGCCCAGCATTACGGCCGTTTTGGAGCCCAAACGATTGTACTCCAGCTGGAGGATGCGGTACATCCTGGGCCGCTGTAGCAGATAGACCAGCGCATCGCAGCACTCGTCCGGCATTTGGTTGTAGCCAAAGTCTACCTCCTCCAGGGAGTCCATGGCCTTAAGGGTGCGGGCCAAAATTCGCAATTTCGTGGGGTCCATTCGCCCGTTTCTTAGCTTAAAGGTTTTCAGGTATGGCAATTCACGGAGTCCCTTGCCCAGGCGGACAATATCACTATCCGAGAACTTTAGGTAGCGGCTATCGAAGGGTCGAAATAGTTATAATAAATCGAGGGTTCTTCAGGGACTACTCACCTGTGAAAGTCCTTGACATTATCCGGCCCCAGGAACTCCAATGTGAGCGAGACCAGATTCCTTAAATGGCGAATTATGGATAGGTCGATGTGCTTGCAGTGTTCTGCAGGATAGTCGTAGCGCTTGATCCGGTGCAGTAAAAGCAGCTTGTTGCGCTGATCGGGCTTCGTGTCCTCATCGTCCGAGGGTTCCGGGGCCACTGGTATACTGAACACATCCCCAATGGGCTTTTCCTTCTTCTTCTTCTTTTTCTTCTTGACTTCCACGACCTTCCTGGCCTCCCGCTTCTCCCGAAGCCTCTCCTTGCGTTCCATGTGTTCCGCTCGCTTCCTTTCCAGCACACTGCGAGCCTGCTGCCTGACGGCGTTGCGCTGATGTCGCGCATTTCGTCGGTCATTGATTTCTGGCTCGCTGTCAGCCGTGTGCCAAAATTGAATGGCGACTTCGGACTTACGGGACTCCTCCTCCTCCTCGCCCTCCTCCTCACCCATGTCTGTATCGGGCTCGTCGCTGGAGATCTCCTCCTCTTCCGAGGAGGAAGAGGTTATGTCCTGGTCGGGATCGCTTTCAAAGTATTTCTGAAACACGGTATCGGCCAGCGGCTGCAGCCTGCGGACGTGTATGGAGCTCACATGCTCCCAAACCTTTTGCGCCAAGGCGGCAAGCTTCTGCTCTGGCACCACGTTCACCGGACAGGTCTCCACCAGCTCCACAAACTTCCGGCTCACGCCCTCCGTCTTCCAGTCAAATTCGTTCCAGCGCTTCAGGTGCAGCGTCTTGTCAAGAGTTTTGTCTAGCACCACGCGCCGCCAGTAGCGTTGGTCCTCGATCAAATAGCATTCCCTGCGGTCAAAAATTACCACAAATAAAAGTCCAATTCAGTCACTGTACCTACCGCAATGGCAGCTCCACATCCAGGGTGTCAAAGAAGACCCTCATCAGCGTCGGTTTCTCCAGAAGAACCGGGGAAAAGCCTTGGATACCCTGCTTGGCCAGGGCCTTGACGCAAAGATTTTCCAACGTGTCCAGCTCGCCTTCGATGAAGGCCTCGGCGAAAATTTCGCGATGCCGCTCGCTGTTCAGAGCCTGGGTTTGCCGTGAGGGCTTGAAGAGCTCGTATGAGGCCAGCAGGATCGGATCACTGGGCATCCGAAACTTCCGGGCATAGTGCGGCAGCTCCACCTCCACTTCCTCATCAAAGTCCATGTTGCTGGTATGTTTTTCTTTGTAGGTGGCTGAATCTTTGGGTTGAAGTTTATTACTGAGAGATACCGATGTTGATTTAATGCTTCAAATCTGGATTATAATTCGAACGCCTGTCCTTTCCGTCCAGGAACCACTTCATACCCTGTACTGAACAATTATTTAAGTAAATCTTTATCGTTCAGACAAGTTATATAAGCTAAGCTATTTTTAATTTCCGATGTAACAAGTGTTTACGAAGGTTAATTCGAGAAAAGCTCGCTCTGATATTTTCCCACTTGGGGCGCACTTAAAGCATTTGCTAATATTGGCTGCTCATGTCTGGCAAGCACTTGCCAAGCACTCGAAGCAAATTTAAATTAAGCTAACCTAATTGAGAAGCGGAGAAGCAGTTTCTTTTTGTGGACTGCCAGGACTGCCGTTTCCGCCACCGCCTCCGCCTGCCACATTGTCCTGCGCTTTGTTTTGATGGCGTAGCTGCCTGGGGCCTCACCTTGCCGGCTATTTTTCTACCTAATGAAATAAAAATAGATGCTGTTAGAGCTGCTCGTCGAGTGCGCTCGCTCCGCTATTCCGTGTGCTTTTGTGCTTAGATCGGTGATTGCCCCAAGTCCCGGGAGACCTTCCTGCAGATGCTCTGGTTCTTGCCACACTATACATTTTATGAGAATTATGAGTGTTTAAGGGGTCTTCGCGAAAAATACATTTTATTAATAACAAAGGAAGAATGCTTTTCATTTTACCTTTTCACAATTTTCAATTTACACATTTACTCTCTTCGGTAGTGAACTTTCATCAATGGGAAGAGACCGTCCTTCATTTTCCTCTGTGTAGATCTAGAAAAGCTTTATCAAATCGGTTCAGGGTCGATTTTCTTTTCAGTCGCTTCGGAGCACCTTGTCCCCAACTCCCAATACAAATTAAGTGCATGCCAGAATGGAATTCGGATCCCAACCCACTCCCTCCTGGCTCTTCGCCGCCCACTGTGCGCCCGCCGACTGCTTATCCCTCCCTGACAACGACAACTGCATTGCTAAGTGGAATTTCGGCCATGACTTTTGCTTTCCCTTCGTCAATCACCTTTTTATCTGGAAGGACATTACCAAGCCAGCTCAACGTGGATTCGGTCTTACCAACTTGTCCTTCCTCGCATGAGCTCGGAGTGGGCGGGGATGTGTGTGGGGGAGTGAGTGGGTGTGCTATGTGCCAAATTTATTACAACCTTTGGGAATTCTTTTAAGTAGTTGCTCGATTCAAAATAATTTTCCATTTATCACTGTGATAACAAAACAGTTCTCCCCCTCAAACCGCAGGCCAGCGCGAAAATGGCAAAATAACATCAGGAGCAGTGAACATTATGAGTGGGTTGCAAAGAGTGCTGGTCCTCCGAAGGACACAGCGCAGGACGAGGGGCGTGGCAATGGCTTGGCCAAAATAAAGTGCTCTTTCCCAAATCTTGCTATCGTTGTAGCCGCCCAGGGAGTTGAGCCGAAGTCTTCTGCGGTCGTTAGGGAGACCGACTTGCTGGACGACGACAACGTCGGGCTCTAATGATAAATGCCGGGCAGCAGGTGATTTAAAATAATTTCGGTCAGCGCGTGAAAAATATTTGGTGTTGGTGCCACTGCCACACAGCCGCAGTTGTTTTCAAATTTTTGAAATTTACGACCTGCCGTTCGTCTCGCTGGAAAGTTCTGCTGCCGGACTGGCCTCCAGGCGAAAAGGCCAAAAAGTTGGCGCAATTGCTTAACAGACATGTTGGCAACACTCGCCCAAGGGACGTTGGAAACCGGAAATGGAGCTGTTTAAGGCAAAGCAAGAAAAAACCAGGACTTTTAGAAGCGACAAGTCCTCCAATTCTCTCCTGGAAAAGCATGGATGCCACAAAAGAGTTTAGCCAAAACTTTGCTTTTGCATTTGCCGCATCCCCTTTTGCGCCGGTCAGCCTTTTCTAAGGATTTTTGGTTTGTTGACTTTACAAAGCCGCTCGCTTGTCAGAGGCAGACGTCCTCGTCCACACAGGTGTATGTTCAGGTGTACGGGCACTGGTAGGCCAGGGCCAGTCGCCATGCATCTTTCATGGCTGCGGCTCGAAACTTTCGTTTGTGTTCGAACCAACTTTGATGAACTAGTCCGGCCGGCAGTGCGTCGTGCACTGAGAAATAGCATTTATTTGAGGTGCAAGAAAAATTGAACGAACATCTAAAAGTGTTAAGATCGACGAGCTTTAGAATTTTCCCCTTTCATTTCAGTGTAGTCACAAACTTTGGAGCAAACTGCAGCGAGAATTATGTACTCGGACCATTGAACAGCGCGTGTTGCGTCATTAAGCACTCCAACACACACACACACACAGAGGAACTCCAAGAAGCGGAGTCCTGGTGGGTCCTTCTGCCCATCCGAACAGACCAGACCAGACCCGGGCAAGTGCATTTGCATAATTTACAAAGTTTCCGTGCATATTGGTCAAGTTTCTTACTTTGTGCCCTATTTTTCGGGGGCTTGCCGCTGCATGTTTATTAAGTCATCAATTATAAAGGCGGCGGGCAGCCGGAGTTTCATTGATTTTTAATGCCGCAACTCCTTGGTAGCAATGCACACACACACAGTCCACGTCCATTGTCTAGTGTCTCCTGTCCACTTGGAGCTGCTGGACTTCAAATATTTGCTGAGGCCTAGTGCTGCTGCTCTTGAAATGTGGCTTTATCGAGTGAGGATATTGGTTTAATGCTGCATTGAGTCGAGTGCTCGATAAATAGCTCGAAATCCCGGCGAATCTTGTCTCGCATCTCGTTGGCCAGCGATGTAAGCGATGCCGATGTCAAGGCCTTTGTTTACGCAGCTCCTTCTGGCCGGCCAAAAACTCTATTTGGATCATATTTTGCCGTGTTTAACCAGCTTTCTATGCAGATTGGCTCTGAGGTCTGTGGGGAGACCCTTCGACGAGCCCTTCGCATAAAATCTAACGACATCGGAGCCGTTCGATAGTTGCTGTCGGCAACATTTACATACTTTTCGGGAGGAATTAAAATTCAGACAAAAACAAAAGGACAAGCGAAAAGAATCCATGGAAAATGGCAAAAGTTTAGCATAAACTTTTGGCGCTTTACATGCAAAACTTACAATTGGCAGTGGCCAAAGTGAACATGTTTTCCAGCCTGGGACTGTGCTGCAGCAAAGTTTCCGTAAGCCGATAGGGTTCTTTGTTTTAACGACTTAGCTTGTGGTCGGTCGAGGTTTTAGCCGCGTCCCCTGTGAAGCCGTCAAGGCTTCACCCATTCTCGCTCGTTATTTCAAATCCGTTGTCTGACGCAGGAGCGAAAAAATCTCTCCCATAAGGACAATTGAAAGGTAAGCAAGATTGGCGAAATAATAAATAATTTTACAAGATAATAGACCACTAGTTTGCTGACCCTAACGGCGTTCAGATAAGGTAGTCATTGTCAATTTAAATTACAAAACAAATGGAAATTTGGGATATAGTAGCAGCATGATCTAAGCTCGAGAAAAATAGGTTAATGAAACCAAGTACTAAATTAATGTTTACAATTCATTCATTGCTAAATCCATAGCTTTAAATAAAAACCTTAAAAAGAATATTGTCACCTGTTTGTAATCTTTGTTCATTATTGTAATTATCGACAACATTGAGTTATTTTACTTAATCGCATCGATTAAATCGACTTTTGTTTAATAACACAACCGTAATTACGCACTAATAATGATAATTTCTTTGGCATTTGCACACACGGCGGGCTCTCAAGAAACCTTTTGCTATATAAGGGACAATACTTGGCATTTACATTTCACTCAAGTTACTTAACAATGAAAACCCCTGTGGCAGTGAATCCGTCGAATCGCTTTCGCGAACTCACAAAGGACATTAACAGTTTGACCAGTTTTTTAGGCGTAGACGTTATGGCGCCCATTTTGCAGTTTAATTATCGCACCTGGACCACAACCTTTGCGATTGTCAGCTATACGGCCTTTGCCGTATTTTCCATAGTCAATAACGGCGGCGGTTTGGTGGAGAGCCTTAAGGCCAGCTCTATGATAGGTGGCCTGTTTCATGGGCTCGGCAAGTTCCTGACATGTCTGTTGAAGCAGCAGGACATGAGGAACCTTACTCTATTTACAAGGAGCATCTACGAGGCGTATGAGAAACGTGGGACATTGTACCGCTCAGCCCTGAACTCAAACATAGATAAGCTACTCGGCTTCATCCGAGTCATTCGCAATGGATATTTCATTACCTTTTCCATAATAATCTTTTTGCCACTGGCTAGGCTTATGTATGACGGAACCAGGGTCACGGCCACGCAGACCGTGATCCCCGGTTTTCCGCTGGAAAGTAATTTTGGCTACACAGTGACCTTCTTGGTTAATTTGGTAAGAGTATACTAAGTACTAAGGTACTAAGGGCCTCTTTTTAAATGTATTTAACCTGTATCGCATCATTAAGAATTTTATTCTTTATATTGCAGATCTCATTGGTCGTTACTGTCGTTGGATTCTATGCTGGGGACTTGTTTGTCTTTCTCGGATTGACTCAGATTCTGACATTCGCCGACTTGCTGCAGCTTAAGGTAGATGAGCTTAACGAGTCCCTGGAAGAAAAAGCCAAATTAAGAGAAATGTTACCAGTGGGTTTCCAGATTAGAGGGGAGGAAGAGCGTCATCATTTGCTATTAGAAGTCATAAAATGGCATCAACTTTTTACCGAGTATGAAGTTTCTGAAATTCATCACATATCCATTTAAATATATTCAAATTTATATTGCTTCCTCAAGCTACTGCCGCACGGTGAACGCGATATACTATGAACTGATTGCCACTCAGGTCTTAACCATGGCTATATCAGTGATGATCGGTTTCAGCATTAATTTATCTGGCTTTAACCTGTCTGTGGCCATATTCTGCGTAATATCAGCCTACAGCATGTCCATTTATTGCATTTTGGGTACTAAACTAGAATTTGGAGTGAGTTTCAGTTACCTAAAATGACTTTTTGTGAATCTGTTGTAACCATTTTATGTCCTAACAGTATGACCAAGTCTACGAGACCATTTGCAATGTGAACTGGTACGAGTTGAGTGCCGGCCAGCGGAAGCTCTTTGGTCTTACGCTGCGGGAGTCTCAGCATCCACCGACAATTGTGATACTCGGTGTTATGTCTCTGTCTGTTAAGACAGCTTTGCAGATAGTCAAACTCATTTATAGCGCGTCCATGATGATGATGAATCGTTCTTAGAAAGTCACTCTTAAATACCGTCACTGCACCTTCGATTAAAATATGAAAAACTCAAAACTTAACATTTCTAAATATTCGTGAAATAAATAAACTTCGTTATCTGTAGACCAAATGAATCAGGCCACATTTAATTTTGCTGTCAGTATAGTTTTCCTCCAAGCGAATCGTATCATTCATAAAAGTCAAAGTGATACCATACAACTATGATGTCGAATAAAGGAAGAGAGACTTGCTCCCCATCAATAGTAGACGCCATCGAAGGAGGTGAAGGGGAAGGCAGGTTACCTGGTTCTTCACCTGGCTCCAGTGCCGAATACAGCGGACGCAGGCAGTGGTTGTGGTACGCTCTCGCGGTCTCCCAACAGCTCCAGGACGATTTGGTTGGCATCGCCATCGCTCCCCACATCGTGGAAAAGGTGGATAGGCAGCTGGCGGTGTAGTGGCAAGCACCCGGCCTCCCTGATCTGGCTGGCTTTTGCTAGCCATGGAAGGTCGGCTCTGCCTACATTTTTTTACTATTCTAATCCAAAGACTAAGAGGAGACCATAAAAAGCTCACAACATGGCTTGAAATTTAGATCTGAAGTTACGTGTGTTATTTTTATAGAATACACTGAGGCGATGCTGCTTACTAAAACGCATTTTGTGGTTCCAGGGAACAGCAATATTGTAGTTAATTTTAATCGCTGCTGCACACACACTCCCTCAAAGCCACACACACACACGCTCAGGTGCATACATACATGCAAAGCAAGAGAGAGACACATGTGGCGCATCTTTTTTTCATCATCAAACCTGATGCAATATAATCTCCTTAGCCGCAACGCATTTGAAATGTCATGCTCGTTGTCCCCATTGCTGTTTTGTTCGGGACTCCACTGATGAGGGTCGCAGAATAGCAGCTGACGCACAACGAGGACGCGAACGAGGACACAGAAGGCACTGAGGGCACAGTTGTGGTCAAAAAAGTAGTATTAAGTAAGTAAAATTGTTTATATCATTGAAGATAAAAGTGTATCCTTAAAAGCATTAAAACGGATAACAAGAACAAGTAACTAGAAATAGAAAACTACAATTTTGTTTTTGATTGGTGCAAAATCTCTCTGCTATGAAAAGTCATACCCTTTTTCTATGTAAATAAATATGTGTATAATAACATACGTAATCCTCACTTGATGCTCATTTAAAGCGGTCAATCAATTTAATTTTAATTATGTTTAAGCAAATAGAGCCCTGAAACCATTTTAAAATAACTATAAACTCTAAGAAAAACTAGATGATAAATTTAAAGAAAATGTAAGATATTATTTTGATAAAAAATTATGAAGAGGAAGCCATATCTGCTGCCATTTCCTTAGCCTCATCTGTTAATGCGAGTGTATGTGAGTGGGACTGTTTGAGTAAGAACAGCAGTGTGTGAGTGTGGTTGGTGCTTTCAATTAAAATTTCAACGTGCACGTAACAACTTTTATTGAAATTACGATTGCAGGCAGGTGCGCACACAGCCGGGGAAGTGGCAAGAGAAATGTGGAGAAGGGAGAGAGAGGGAAACGGAGACAGAGATCCGCACACACTCGGCGTCCAGGTCCAGTGGCATTGCATACTTTATGGCATACTTTTGAGCGGCGGGCATGTGACATAGGCATGCCATACGGGCCTGCATTTGTAGAACATGGCTCTAATGAAGCCCGAATTGCGCTGGCACAATCGCTCTGGCATTCAAAAGACAGTAAAGCAACAAGCACACTGGGCAATCACTGGAAAATATTATTATTACATTTGAAATACAATTTTTTTTTAAATTATATAATAAATTTTAATTTAGTTGTGGTTGTGTGATTACAGTCTTATGCTAACTAGTTCATACTGCACTCATTTTACTTTCTAATACCAAGTTCTATTATGATTTGTATACTGTTTTTCGTAGTGCATTTTGACTCTACGGAAGCATCGTTTTGCACTCAAAAGCATTATCAGGAACAATTAATTATGCAGATATTTGATTAATGTGGTCGCATCGGATGGAACACTGGGCAGTCGGAGGATCAGAGTGGCAAAAGTACAATGGGAAGTGTGAATGCGAAGGCGAATCCACAGAATACGAACTTCAACTGTCACAATAAAACTTGCCATTCTTCTTGCTTCCTATTCATGTATTCACATAATCCAAGATGAAAAATAGATTTTACCGAAAAATTTCACTGCGCAAAATGCTGACAAGGACATTCCGCTGGGGTTTGTGCTTGTGCTGGGGCTGGTGCTGTCTGTCGGCGGTGGCTGCTGCTCGGCTGGGCTGTTACATCAGCTAAATGGTTAAGCGCACTAGTCGAAGTCGGAGTGGGCAGCAAAAAAAACTGCTACAAATTTTATATAAAAAACAAAAAGGACTGCAGACCGGCGACTGCTCTAAATGCTCCTGAAATTGCTGTTGGTTTTTGCTTCCCCAGAAACCCCTTTTCACTCAACGCCTTCCTCGGCCTCCCCGCATTGCTCTTTCTGGGCCGAGTGACTTTGCTACATGACAATGAAAATCTGCATTGCTTTTATTTGGTTGCCTTTTCCAAATGCTCTTCTATAGGAGGCATATCCAATCCGCCCTTTGATTTGAGCAAAATGTTTTAAATAAATTTTAAGTAAATTAAAATTCTCTAAGAAGGACTCCTACATTAAATATACTATAAAGTTTGCTATTATTGTTTACTTATCACTAATTATACAAATGGCCAGTAAAAGTTGGTTCTTGACTTTTGAAGATCACAAAAAGTTCATAAAAGGATACAAACAAAATTTATAGCAATGAGCAAATATATATTTTCAAGCCTATATCAAAATAACTACAGATAAATTATAAGAAAATTTAGAGTGCTGCATAAAAACACGTCTTAAATCTCCATTATTTTTTATTTCTCAACAAAGAAAAATCTTCTTCAACGTCAGTAAGTGCATTTGTTGAATGCCCAAAACTAAAATTCGATTTCATGGCCTTGTTTTTGTCGGTTTTGGCGCTTCGCTTCGGAAATTGTCATTTTAGTATTCTGTGTTCGGCATTTCCCAGTCCTGCAGATTTTCTGCTGTTTCTGCACTTTCCCAGCTTCGTTTTTCATTCGTTTTTTTCCAGTTTTTTTTTTTTGTTCCTTTCTTTCTTTTTTTGGCGATGCCAACACCCACCGCCCTATAGCCCACCAATCGGTCCATTTGGTTGACATTGCTGAATTAAACCAATCACTACTATTTTCACACTTAACTTGCAATTTGCATAAAATATTACCCAAGACCCAACAGTCAAGCAGCCGTCGCCGAGGTTGGTGGGGTGGAAAGCCGTGTGGCAAAGTGGGTGGCAGCCTTCAACTGGGAGCGAAATGGAGCTCGGGGGGCGGGACCGAGGACTGAGGACCGAGGACCAAGGACCAAGGGTCCTCGCAAATACGCAACCATTGACAGTTGCGTGTGAATTTATTTTATTCCTTTATGTATATTTTACGTTCGCACACACGCGCATTTGCATTGAAAATGTATTTCGTGCATTTCCCTTACAGAGTGGCAAAATATGTGTTGCCTGCTTTTTGTGGGCCTTCAGATATTTCTCTTTCCCTTTTGGCCGTAAAAAGCCATGGGTCGATACTCTATAATTTAAGCAGATATCTCCGAAGATTATTAATTAAAATGTGATAATAGAATTTATAACTATTTAAGCCTTCAGGCAACTTTTGTTCAACTTCGTCCTACACTATATTAAACTATAAATATTATATTTGAATAAAGTTATAAAGAATAAAGCTCAACAAGCTCCACTGTATGCTATTTTGGTTAAATCGAGTATGAGGCGTGTGCACTCATTAGTGCAAATGTTGCCTAAATCTAAAAACCGGCAACTGCAAAACTAAAAACTAGAAACTTAACTAAACTAAACTAAACTAACTCGAAACAGTGCATTACGCTACATTTAACAAATGGGTTAGACCCAGTTGCAGAAAGAAAGAAAGGCTTTAATGGGTCGGAGCTAGCGTGTGTCCCGACACAAAGGTCCCTTTGAGGAGTGTGTTCGCGCACAGGACATTAAATGCCCGTTTTTCCCGTTTTGCACATGTCCGAAACAGAGAGTCGGGAACCGTCTTCACGGACCGGCCAGCGTTCCGTTCCCCCTTTTACGGCACTTGTTTTGTGGCCCCTGTGTGTGCTTCCTGCGTGCTTCTGTCGTAGACAAAGGTAAAGTGCGTATGCCGTGCGATTCTGCCGGCAAACGGATTCCGGAAATTTGCATTTGATGTCCGCTTTTGAGCAGTCATTGGGTTACCTCTTTTCCAGCAGTCATTGAGATGCCTTTGCCAATTCGGGACACGGAGAAAGAGGTACTTCGGTATGAGTCTAAGTTGGGAAGCACTAATAAAATCATATTTTCGAAGATCTTTAGGAATATGTTCCTTAGGAATATAAATTCGAGGAAAAAAGGTATTTAAAATATTTAATAAATTATATATACATACATGTTGACCCACTGTTTACCTGCCGTTATGACGCCAGATTGGCCTGCTTTTTGACGTCAAGTTGGAGTTAACTTCTGACCCAGCAATTGCTGACTCTATTTATCAACTAACAGACGACGGAAACTTCATTAAAATGCACAAAAAACGGCTGGCCAAGTGAGCTCGTGTCGAGAACGCTGTTTAAAATGTTGAAAATAGCATTGTTACGCTTGCATGAACTTCAGTACGCCCACACTCCCACTCTCTCACACACACGCACACTCTCAGAGAGGGGAAGCTTTTGGCATTGTGTTAACAAATACACTTAGGCAAACACATAATTTCGAGTATTTAACTAAAATAAACAGGATGTAAAACATTTTATTGCATGCACAGCCCGCAGCAGCAGTGAAGCAACAACAACAACAACAACATCGCTTGCACACACACACACACACATGGACTGCGCCATTTGCATTTTAGTCACTTGCACTTTTGGTGCGTTCAAAGAGAGCTCAAAGCCAACGAGGCTGCCATTGCATCTGTACTTGTATCTGTATCTGTATCTGTATTTGCTACAGCTTCAGCTTCAGCTGCAGCTGCCCACGATGTCTGTCTGCCTGTCTGTCAGTCGCCGCTTTTCGCCATCT